CCAAGACTCGATCGTGAAGAATGTAAGGATAAAACACTATTGATTTGGACTCCTTTATCAGTGACGAGTAACGCTACTAGATTAATTATTAAGTTTCCACAACTCGTAATGAAAAACGAATTGCGCGTTGAGGCGACGGCTCTTTATCAACGTGTACATGGATATTTTACGAGACTAACTCATCTAAAATATGAAAGTAAACCGTGGTACGTTGTCGCGGTTACATCTCGTTTACGCACCGCGCTTTTAACTATCTATCGATTTCGTGTAATCTGTTCCATTTTCAGGAAGAGAGAGATATTTGTGCGACTTGGGCGTTCGCGCTGTAATTCGCTCTGTCGTTCTTCGCAACTCGAACGGGCAGGAAGTAAAGAACGTCGCTTACTGCATTTCACGGTATTTTACATCGCGTACGGGAGTGAGTGTTGTGAGTGTAAGTGCAACAAGAAAATCTGAGAGGAGCAGGCCTAGGCGGCATCGGGCAACGGCAATCGTAAGGTAAGTGTCTTATATTTTTGTTATTTGCTAATTGTGCAAAATAAAGCATCTGTTCTGTGCTTTTATTTTATTTATTCAAATGATTCGAACGTGGATTCGAATAAATGTTAGAGACAAAACCATACGTATAAAATTTTGTGAGTTCATATTCAAAAGGAAGACTTTCAGTATTCTATGTAATTGTTTTAATAAATACCTATTTTTAAATATAAAATATAAAGTATATTTAATACAATAGTTTCGATTTTGCATAATTAGTCTATAATAATCGTATACATTTTTGTATTGTTACAGTTTAACATGTATAGTTAGCGATGTACAACTCTGCTGTTGCGAACCGTATCAGTGAGTGACAAATTACTTTTTATTTTAAATTAACGTTGCGCATACAATTACTTCTTCGTGTGTACACAAATTCTTAAAAATATACAATTCTTGACCACAAATTGCGCGCGCGAAGCGCGCGTTTTATCGTTTCTAGTAAAGATAAAAAGATAATGAGATAAAGTAATGCCCACTGGGCATTAATGGGCATTGATGTACAAGATTTTGGTCAGCGGTTTCCCCCTCGACCGACACCGTCTCGAGACGCATGTACAGTGCATTAATTCGCTTCGAGCCGTAGTGTCAAAAGCATCTATGTTTAAATAATCAAGTAATTTTCGTCCATCCCTAATTATTACCAAACCGAATTAACACACCGTGCTCCAAATAGCCAAATCTGTTAGAACAGATTTCGTCAAATGTCCACTACACATATTGAAGGCAGAAAGACTGCAGGAACTGATATATTCGACACATGTCGCCAACGTGTCAACAGAAATACAACAAAATCAGCTCACACACAGAAAAAAAAGAATATTTTTCCTTTGAAAATATATTTTCAACGTGAAATTGCGTTAAAGTAAGGAAAACTTATTTAAATGAAGCAATTTTACATAATTTAGTCAAGAAATATATATCCTTATTATTTAAGAATAATTTTCTTGAATGGGAAGGAAACAATACTGGATAGAAAATAACATATTTTCAAATCGAAAATTGCAATGATTAAAACGATATTATTGTCAAAGTAATTGTATGTATTTTTAAAGTAACAATTATAGTATTTAAATAAGAGTGTAATATTGTTGGAATGCAAGATTATTAAATGCTTCTAATTGTTAGTTTAATTCATGCTTGTCTCTTTCTAAAGTAACAGTTGGAAAGAGACAAAGAACGAATTAAGCTAAGCTTAAAGTTAAGCGACGTTGGTGAAACCGGGCCTTAAGCATTTACAGATCTTCTCTGCCGTCGGCATAACTAGTATGCCCACTATCTGTCGACTGTTTGGTCTTTCGTTTTTAATCACGTATGTAGCCCGTCCATCTTTGGACTAGCGGCCATCCAGCGGCGTGTGTGTGTGTATGTATGAGAGACTCGTCAAAGTTACACTACCACACACAACAATTGTCTCATTGGTTCCCCCCCCAAAAAATGGTAATGCGTAGAAGAATCGATGCAAAACCGAACAAAAGACGTAGTGAACATACCAGCTCTAACATACTGGGGTGAGACCGTTTTCTGCTATTCTCGACGTCGTCGAGAGAAAGAGAGAGAGGTGCTGTTGGGGTTGGGGTGAATCTTTGTCTCTTTCTCTGTTATCCGATTGGTCGACAATTTGCTATCTCACCCATTTAAGGTGAAATAGAAAATTGTTGACCAATCGGACAGCAGAGAAAAGAGACAGAGATTCACCCAACAGCACCTCTCTCTCTCTCGGCGACATTGAGAACAATAGGACATTTACTCCAGTATTTGTAGAGCTTACTGGAGCATACCCTAGTTACCCAGTTATCAAAATGTTAACAGATTGGCAGGAGATTGAGCAGAAACCCACAGCAAAACCATAGCCATCTGCGCCCGCATTTGGCTTTTGTCTTGGCAACAGAGTCTGTAAAATGTACGCTGTCGACAGATTGTAGGCAGAAACCAAGCAGGTCCAGTTATGTGAACAGATTTTGCTGTATTTCTGCTGGCGTGCTGGCAACATGTCGAATCTATCAGTTCCTGTATGCAATCTGCAGTCTTTCTAGTGGGCATTCGACGAAATGTGTTCCGGCAGATTTAGGCATATCTAGGATGTTATATTACGATGGCGAATCGTGGCGTCTTGAAATTGACTTGGCCAAGGATGATTTGACGCGGGGCGATGGTCGATCGGCGTACGTTCCTGGCCGAGACACGAGATTCGCCACGAGAGGCGCAGCGTCGCGACGCTCGCCTTCCTCGCTCTCGTACGCTGCTGCAGATTATGCCGCATTGCCGCAAACGCTCGTCATCGACGCGACGACCCGGGGGTCGTGGCGGCAACGGCAACGGCAACGGCAGCGACGGGACGGAATGTCGACGCGAAACGCGCTTCTGCCGCGGAAGACGGCGAGGACCGCGAGGCCGGCTCGTAGATGAGATTAAAGGAGAGGAGGGAAATAAGAAAGAGGAAAAAAAGAGAGGAGAGAAAAATTTTAAGGGGATAAAAAGAAGGGGCGAAAGCGGAAGTTCTCTCCCTCACCTTGTTCCCCGTGAGGAATCTGACGAACGGCAGCACGATCATGAACATCCGCCGGCTGCCCGGTTTCATGTACCACTACAAACTCGCGACGCTCCTCCTGACGTCCAGTCTGTTCCTCGTCGTCTACCTGCTTCTACATTGGGGTATAATGTGCACGAACCTCGAGGCCTGGCGTCACGTGTCCACCGTGGTGAGTTGCGCTGCGCGTCGGTGTCACCCGGAGCGGAATCGGCATCCTCGGGCGCGTTGCCGATCGCGCGCGAGGAAAGGGTTGGCACTTGTCGGCACGGGGTAGTGAGTAACGTCGCGGTAGTGAAGATGTGTGCGAGTGAATCCAGCGCCGGCGAAAGGGGGTGAGAGAGCGACAGCGGACGCACGCGTACTCGGCCGCAGCCTCCGGAGCGAGAGAGGCCGATCGCCCCGATCCGCCGCCAATTTGCATTCGCGCATTTTCTGCACCTGGCTTGCGTCGGCTCGCAACTTTTTTATTTCACTGGGGATAAGTCATTCTAAAGTTGCTCGCACTGTAATGGAAGAATGCCACTTTACAGTATCGATACGGAAATTCCGCCAACGGATACATATATATAACGCGATAATATGATATCCCCTGATCAGCTCGGCCGCGAGAAAATTATTCAAGTACGACCGGCCTGCGAACAAAAGTACAAGTTCAATACAAAGATCGATTACGGCACAATTTACGTTCGCGAAGGTCACTGATAAAACCAATTTCCTACGATAAAACGTCACACGACTCACTGATAAACTTATCGCGCGGAAGGGAAGTCAAGTGTACAATTTTTTCCCCAGTTTGAAAATTGGCTAAGCGTTAGTTTGTCCGGAAAATTAATTTACGTAGAATTACGTGACTTTGGCTGGACAGCTTATCCGTAAACTCGAATTGTTGCAGCGATATAATCTGGCAAGGCTGCGTTCTAGTAACCCGAATGTAGTACCTCTAGATATCGATTCCCATGAAATATTCCTAATTTTGCCGAGATCGATCCACGCTTGAATAAGGCATCTCTGAAATGGTCGAAATCCTCGACGGAGTCCCCCCTCTCTCTCTCTCTCTCTCTCTCCTTCTCCATTCCATACTTGTACCAAATAATATCAACAAGATTAAAGTTATTGAAGTTATAATTTACTCGCGATTTGAATTATATGTATAAGAATGAGATCCCTCGTACATAATTAGAAGAATAAATTTACTGAAACTGTTGACGAACATAAATGACAAATTGCAATGAATATTCATCGACGAATTAAAAAAAGATGTAAGCCATCTATATTAGAGTTCATTGATTTGTAAAGAAAGTGTCATGAATTTGTATTCTCACTTTTTCTATTGGCAACGCGAACATAAAATCGTCGTCGCTTTATATTCGCGTTCGAATTGTTTATTTGAGGGCATCATTTTCTTCAGCGACTATCGAGAAGGGCGAGTTCCGCTCTTGAGTCTGGGGATTTTGGTCAACATCTTGCGAAAAAAATGAGAATGTATATTCTAAGATTGCACCGTCTGAAGGGCCTGTCCCATTTGATTTGTTATTTTTCTAACGCTTTTCTCTAATGGTTTACCTTATCGTTTCTGTAGGTTCTTTCGAACGGCTATTGATGAGCGACAATCTTAAGAATGATTTGTTTTAAGTTTTGTAGAGTGGAGCTCTGGCGCAGCTCTAAGTATTTTGGAGAATAAAGAAAATTTTCATGGGGGAAGAACTCGAGAGCTTTAGTTTTATGGACCGTTCACTAGTCGATATCCGTTGATTTCTAGGTATACATATACTTATTATTCGTTCAACGGCAAGGAAAAATATTCCTTACTGTTTTATGAAAGAGAGAAATTGTGGAGTCCACTGGACGTAAAGATAAAATTATTATTGTACATCGACTGATAAATTTTTGTCACAATATTAATAACTTGTTTTTTTTTACAAAATGTATCGAAAATTGTGTGTCAAGATCTTGTCAAAATGGTTGCAAACAATTCTCAATCTTTTTATAATTCATGAAATAAAGTCTGTGGAATGTCTCTTAGCAAGCAGTTATAAAAATATCTTAAACTACAGCGATCTAATCAGGCTTAATGTCGATGAAGTCTTATATGACTTAACTGTCACTGGTCATTACATTCTAACAGTACTGTCGCAGCGTAGAATTAAGAGGAAAATCGCTTCTTATGTAATACTTGACCGACACACGCAAGACTGTCGTGGAAGAAGTGCGATAACATATAACATCTAACATTTTTCCAAGCATTATTGTATATGCTCGTTAATTTTCTAAAAAGATACAAATGTTATCGGACTATTCTAAAAATTTCCCTAGTAATCTAAAATATTTTTATTTGTGAAGTAAATGATGGAGAGAGAGAGAGAGGAGGGACGGGAGAGGACAGGAAATATGTGCAGATTATTATTTCACCTACTGAACGTTAAAAAGTGGATCAAAGAACAGTACGCATTAAACATTCAATGAATGTAGAGGAAAGTCCTCTATTGTGAAACAGGATTCTAATATGAGATAGTAGGTTTTCAACGTCCAAATTCAATGATAAATCTTTTTTCGCAACGATTACACGATCTAACGATCAATTTTCCACTAAACAGATTTCACTCCAAGGGCAATAAATTCATGGTGGAACCAACAGACGATGCCCATCAATTTAATAGAAACTCCGCTATCTCATATTAGGAGCCTATCTCGTAATAGTGGACTTTTCTCGACATGTATTTTTACATAAGCGGCCATGCCAAACTAAAATTGAACTGCAAGATATAAGGATAAAAGGGAACGATCGTAATATACATGTGTAGATAAATTTTTAACCTACTAGTTTAAAATATATATTAGAGATAAAAATTATTTCTATTGGACAGAACAGAGAGATAGAAGTAGATATATTTCTATTTTCTTAATAATAACTCAAACTGGCCTGAATTCTATTATTACGATTTTAAATCGAACCACTTTTACGGTCGTTATATTTTTGTATTATGTTACTCGTTAAATGCTGCTTTAAATAAAATCAGATTTTTTGACAAGAGCGCAGAAGGAAGAGACATTCTGAATGAGAAAAAATATTGAAGTCACGTTGGTAATTATTTCAATTTGTAAAACTTATTTAAAACTTCTTTTCCTCCAGTTGCAAGTAATTTCGTCTTTACCCGACGAATATTTTGCAGTTTTTTTTTTGCAAGAAAGGAACCACACGACAGTACATGTATCTTAAAACGTTGGTTTCTACTGGCAAACGTAATTAGAGATAAGTCGTTCCGTCTTGGGAGCGTTTTCGACAAGTACCACCTCGGATGCGCAGAATGTGCAGGCACGCATGACACATCTATGCGGGAGTCGAGAAGTCGCGCCGTCCCCTCCCGAGACCGTTCCCTCATCGTGGCCGATTGGGCCGACTAAAAATATCACACGGACAACGAGCCCGTTCAACGTTACGACGTTGTACCACATGCACGAGCGCAATATGTGGTCCGCACGAATATGAACGCCCACGCGCGCGCAAGAAAAGAGCCCTGCTCTTTCGTTGCTCCGAAATTCTCGCGACTCGGACAGTGCCTGGTGGAAAGAGACCGTCCGCTAAAATGAGCGCTAAAACGCATTCGTTCACTTTCGTCCTTAGATTAATATTTATTCGGAGCGAAATAGCACACGGACGCAACGAGCCCGTCGCAAAATATTCGTCGGGCAAAGGCGAAATTACTTGCAACTGGAGGAAAAGAAATTTGAAATAAGTTTTACAATTTGAAATAATTACCAACTTGACTTGAATTCTTTCTCATTCAGAATCTCTCTTCCTTCTGCGCTTTTGTCAAAACATTTGATTTGATTTTAAGTATAATTGTAATGTTCTGGGAGTGTACAGATATGCGTACCGCTTTTATTTGCTTCCCCAGAACATCCCCTTTTCGATTCCGATGAACTTGAAATCTCACACACTATCGTATAATTTCCATTTCAGTGCAGCCAGCACCGAGATGGTACCGCGATGGGAATTCTCTGCGAACCACTGTGCACCGAGAAAGGGATACACTCGCTGGCATGTGAAACGCTCCATGCAGGCAAGGAGGCCGTTTTCTCCGCGCACTGGGAAGCGACGCGGCTTGTATTCAAGGCTTCGAGGTATTGTTTCGTTCTTCTTTTTACATTTGTTACTGCCGAATGCCTGCCAGAAGTTGCGCGCTTCTTTTCTCTTCCTTTTCTCTTTCGTTAATTTTAGATTTTAAATATTAAAAAGTTTCAATTGACTCACATGAATCCCATCTCGATTTAGAACCAAAGTACCCTCGGAGCAATTCGAGTCGCTCTACTGGATGGATGCAGCCGGTTCGCGGCACTTTCCGTCCGAGGAGGATTTTGTCGCCATGATCAAAGACTTGGTTATCAATAAACTGAACGTGACTCTGGCGCAACATCAGCTGGAAAGACTCGCCCGTTTGCGCACCCATCGAGTCGAGACCGACGCCGTGAAACGTCAGCTGGAGATGGAGAATCTCTGGCCGCTGTTGCAAGAGAATGAATATCTGATGGCGATTTTGTACGAAGACAGGGACGTGTTTCCGCAACCGATCGGCACGTGTGGAACGTTTTACGTGGTCGAGTACGTCCGGCCGATCGAGACACCCACGACGGTGCTAGCCCTATCCGACTCGAAACCCGAGTGGGCCAAAAGGCTCAAGCTCGCCGTGATGATTCTTAATCTACTCGAGGAGCTGGAGACGAGCTTCCCCGAGCCGCTTCATCTCTGCGACGTGAAAATCAATCATTTCGGCTTGCCTCTAGGCGGGCAAAAACTGAAATTCTTAGATCTGGACGCAGTCTTCTCCAGGTCCGTCGTCGATCGCATCATCAGTGACGGTAAGAGTTGCGAGAAGCACGAGGACTGTGATTACTTCGACTGCCGGTCGGTGTGCTCGAAGAACAAACGCTGCGAGTCCCCGGTCCTCAATAATAATTTACAGGTAATTGACATTATGTATGTTTGTCGTATTTCATTAGTTTCCTAATATTTTTTATAATAACATAGAAAAATGTGTCGCATAAAATATATTTACAGTATTTTCGATAAAATAGTACGTTATTAAGTATACGATTGCTTTTACTTTGCACTCTTTGTCACAACTTTATGTATAATATTAGCAATTTTAACATCTCAAGTTTACTACAAATTTTCGTCGCAAAAGTTACTTGTACTTATAGATTATTTGCGAGAAGATTTTTCTCGGCTGGACGCTCTCAGGGACGATAATTATTCCTGGGCTGCTCATGTCAGAGCATACCACTAGCACATTGGCAGTGTTATTGAGACAATGCGCTAATCCAGACGGCGGCACAACGCATTTACCACGTGCGGCAGCGCCAGACAGCTTACAGAAACGACTTTACAACATGCTGAGCGAGATGGAACAAGAATACTCGGAATTTGTATGAAAAAAAGAAAAGATTGGCATTGGTAAAAAAATCATTCATTTTCACGAAGCGAGATCAAGTATCGCCCTTTCCGCGATAATAATAAGAACGCCGTAGGTTTACGATTGGAAATAGAGAAATATTTCTCGATAAAAACCGTATGCGACATTATTTATTTCAAGCTACAAATCGATACGTACAATCGTATACTTCCATCTTAAGTATTAGTATTATATGGGCGATCGTAATAAATGTGCACACTTTTATTTTCCATCACGGTATAATAAAAAAAAATCTAATAGAAGCTAGCAATATTAATAAAACTGAAGAATTACTTATTTATAATTACTTATTTATAACTAAATATTTATAGTAAAAGAAATTATACAACCGTTTACATTAGTTACATGAACACGACATAACAAATTTATTAGAGCGGCAATATTGTGATAATTAGGTATTAAAACCCCGAAAAATGCTAGTCAGATAGCGATGTAATAAACTTACGAACGCGCTTAATTAGGAGATAAAGAATGACCAGTTTCTTCCTAGAGAATTTCTTGTATATAGATAGACAAAATAACAAATAATGTGTTAAACATATTATTTATTAAATACATATAGTTTAAAATATTATATGTATTTTAGCATAATCTTGTCAAATATTTATAAATATATTTATTATACCATTTTATATTAAATTCCTTTTCTCAACCTGCTTTAAACTCACGCAACAAGTCATCAGATTGCTATTAGTAATGTCAGAAATTCACACAATAATCTCTTTTTTTTCTCTCCCAATTTAGTTTCGTTACCGTTCTTTATATTTCGTACGAAGTTTATATATTTTTATTACAATAAGTCTTTTCATTTTCCTTATGGATGTCTCCTTATCACGTGTGTAGATTTTTCTATTTGACGGTGCCGTGGGAAGAGCGATTTTAAATTTCAAAAAATTTTTTTCAACAAACTAGGAAAAGACGACACCAGTCAAATTGTCTCATTATTATTCCGTGACTTCGCTGGACATATAGAAATAATTTTTTTCAAGAGAATCCCTCAGCCATCTTTTTTATTAACACAGTCAAATACAGTTTTTGCTCTTGTAATTCTTTTTATGGGTTTTTATGTACAAAATAATACCAGAATAAGTTGCAAATTATTTCTCCCCCCCCCCCCCCAAGTTGGCTACAGTTGCGGTCGGTAATTCATCTCTTGTGATAAAAGGTTGGGACAGCCTTTACGACTCACGAAAGATAATCGATATGAGAATCAGATGAAATAAACAGATAAATCAATTAATCGTTCTGACTCTTATTATTCAGAGCGAGCAAAGTTAAATTATCAAACTCATTGTTGCCGGCTGTTGGTTTTTCTCTTTAAAAAGAGAGAGAAACTTTGAGAGGTTTGCGTTCTTTCTCTAATTTAGCAGTGCACACCCGCCATCTACAATGAAGAAATACTCGAAGTATACTCTCTATGTCTGTGGTTGGCATTGCCCGGTCTCGTACACGTTCCTCGTTCGATAACATCGTGAGATTCGTCTGTGAGGGCCCCGATAATTCGCTATGGCGAGTGGTCTGAAATTTGGTGGTTATCCTGCGGAATACGATCCTGTGAAACACGGGCCGTACGATCCCGCACGTTATTATGGGAAACGTGAGCTTTTATTCCCATCACATCTGGCATATACGTCGTTTCCTTGGACACAATCAAATATTACATAATAACCTTTCCTTTTGCAGCCGACAAAGCGTACCTGGATCTGAAACTCAGCGAGGTTCCCGGCTGGTTCGCGAGACGTCAAAAGGGTCCTCGGCCGTTTGCGGCATTGTGCTCACGAGGTACACACAGACGAGAGAGAAGCCATTTTATCGGACAAAAATTGCATAACTTTGGTGCGCCGTATAGGGAATGATGTCTGAATAATCCCGAATTCCATCAACGTCATTGAACAGGAAATAACGTTTGAATAATCCCCAATTCCACCAACGGCATTGAACTTTGAACTTTGATAATTTTATGTATTCTTTACGCCCGGTTTCACGAAACGTTGCCTAACGCTTAGTATAATTCTCTTTCTGGAGTAACAGTTGAAAAGAGAACGAATTAAGCTAACAAGCTTAAAGTTAAGCGACGTTAGTGAAACCGGACCTTAAATTATTTCTTCCTGACTGTCCCTTTAGAAAGAGACAAAGTGGGTATAACAATCCTCTTTCCTACTTAATATTATTACGCTTGTTTTGTAATAAAATTAATGTAATAGCTTACAACAAAAACGCAAGCATAAACGTAGATAGCGCACAAGCTTTGGCGTATGTCGTACTTACCTCCAATTACATGTGACGTTACTTCTATGTTTACGCTTGCGTCTTTGTCGTAAAGCCCAATGTCCACGATGCTAGAACTTGGTCCAAGTTCTAG